TATCTATGGAGTTAGAGAAGTATACTGTAGTATTACCAATCAAAATATTAAATCACTAGGCCTAATTATAAATGTCTTATTTTTACAGAATTAGTTTGGTCATCCCTCATTAGTTTGTAATTGTAGGTATACTCAGAGGGTGTGCTTTTTTTTTTGTTTATTCAAAAATACAATAAATTAAATAAATATCAAAAGGATATTGTGAGATCAACCAATTCAATACAAAATCTATTTGATCTAGCTACAGTAGATCCTGTACAATATTTCTTCCTTGAATATGCTAAACTAATCAATATGTTGTGGTTTGACCTTTCTACGAACAAGAAAACATCCGGCTTTCCAATTCATTGATTTCCAATGAAAAATTCAAAACTTGATATTTTATGATTAGTTATCAATAACAACTCTGTAATTACTTGTGTTACATTACAGTATTGTACAGTACAAAGGCGCACTATGTATTTTTCTTATAACCAATTTTTTTTTTTTTTATAAAAAATACAGTATCCTGTCAACACAGTGAACTATATCCCTCAACATAACTTGGCTGGCAGAGCAAAAATTACATAATTTTGTTTTTCTTTAAATAATAATATATCCTATATTCCATATATATATTTCTACAAAAAAAGCCCTATGAGATAACTTGTAACAAATTGTTGTTGTATGGGAAAAAATTACTTCCTTTAATCAAAATTTTTCATTAGCTTTTCTGAAGATTTACTGTATAAGGTACACATTTTAACAGTCAGTAGTGACACAGTACTTGGATCCAAATAATTATACAGGGGACCCAAACCAGGTGGGGTTCATGGGAAGAAATTTTTATGGTTAAGAATGGCCTAAAATTGTGCTGTATCCACCACAATATAATGGATTAGCAAGAACAATAACTTTGTTTAGATTGTCAAGAATGATGTTTATAGTCCGACAATCCTGTTGCGGCATCAGACGACAGGGGGTCCTCAATTTGGAAAGAAATAGTATATTTTATCAGAAAAGAAACAAATTGTAAGGAAAAATAACTTACACATACTGAGCTGTAACAAAAAATTTGAACAAAAAATGCAGCCAAATTCAATTTTATAACATAAGTATCTCATTATAAAACCATGAAAATTCCATTTCAACCAATGCATAGTAGGTTACCAGTACATTAATTTTCTTCAGCTCGGTTAACACTATCAAATTTTATGTGACAAATTTGTGTATATTTTGATTGTCATATAATACCTAAATATGGGCATATCACATTTTTTGTTGCATTAAATTTTGATAGTGTGGACACAGTTTCCATTTACTTCCCGTAATAAGAGTAAAATAGCCTACTCTATTTACAAGTCATGAGGGTGAATAGCGAACTTTATAACACACCTAAATAGATCCCTGTCATTTGACTGGTGGATTACGTGACATTGGTTAATCATCCCATTTCGTCACTCATCGAAGTTGAAATTTATTTCCATCTGTGCAATTTTCTTTCCATTCATTTTTTCAAATGCACGGTGCCTAGCAAACGAAATGACTTCAACATAATACAATCTTTTGATATGATAAAAAGACGCGGGACATTTTCCGGAAGGTTAAATCCATAAAATGACGTCATGTCACCTATTAAACTCTACAGTGCCTCTAATTTTGATAAGTGAGGTGTGAAATGTATGGGAGATTTTGTTTACTCAGGGAGTTGATGGTTTATTGTAAAATATTCTAATTGCTTGGATGATACCTCAAAAACTAGCTCAAACTTGTACAAAATCTGTGCTGAATTCGGCCCTCATTTTCTGAAATGTGCGGACGGATTTCTAGCCTGCTAGGGACCTAGGTTTTGTGCAGAGGATAGGCCAGGCTAGGACGAAGAACCGATTCGAGCCGACGAGCTCGTGGGCCCAAGGGTGGGGTGAAGTTGGTCGGCGGCCAGGAAGGAAGGGCCTATAGTCTATTCCCGAGCAGGCGACAGGCAAGATACCTTTAGTCTGGGACACTTGTTTGGTAGATGATCAAATGACAAGACAAGTATCTATTTAGGCCTAAGGGGCCAAGGTGTGTTATAAAACAAAAATGTATGTTTTGTATTTGTATTTGAAAAGTTGACTGTTACATTCAACTCGGCTCAGCCACGTTGAATGGAACAGTCCATCTATTAACTCATGAAAATATTCTTCCCATTGCACTCATTAACATTCATTATTCTATTTACCTTAAGCATTGAGGATGAAACTACACTATTACACAAATATTGAGTGCTCATGAAGGGAATGGTGAAGACCAGTTTATCTTCTCTCGAGCCTTCTGCCCTCGGGAAGATAGGCTACGGTCTCCGCATCATGGAGGGCTATGTATTTCACCGTTCCCTGAATCTAGAGCTCTGGTCGGCAACCCATGGGTCGCGACCCAAGATTGGGTCGTGAGTGAATTTTTTAGGGTCGTCATATCGTATCTGGGTATTAAAAAAAATTATACAGGAAGTCGGAAGTCGTAAGTGTTAAAATAAAAACTTTTTAAAATCAGTAGTGTCTTATGGAAACATTGAACAAAACATTTTTTATTAAATAATTTGATGAAATGCTGGCTATTGTCTTCAATTTGTGTTAATGTTTGGCTGTTGTCATTCGATTTACGAATTGATGAGCTTGATAAAACATCGCTTTGCATCACAGCGTGCAGTTTGTTGAATAAATTACACAAAAATATTTTGTTTTAATGCAATGATGAACTCTTTACAATTTTATTTTGATCAAAGGATGAGTTAAAGTTGAATTAACACTAATTTATAGCAATAATTTGCAATGGAAAATTCATTTATAATATGAAATCAGCAGTAATGTGATTACAACTACATTAGTTGCATTATGTTCCCAATATCATTTCATATTATTGCAAGGTTATCACAAAATATTCTTTTTTTTTTTTAATATTCAGCATTCTACCGGATGCATTTAGAATGAACAGTGTAACAAGTCAAAAATATGTTATGTTATGACATAGAACAGAATACACAAAAAGAAATCCCCATGGTTAGGGGGTAAAATTTTCAAATGTTTCTATATTTAAATTTTGAATAATTATTTTAAATAAAAAAGAATTTGTTTTTGTATTAGTTTCAACTTTATCCAAAAATAAATTTCTTTACTTTGGGAGAAACATTTTTTTGTCCTTGTTTTCAAAATGTCTATATATTTTAAATTTTTAATTTTATGGAAGGATCCCCCGTGTGAACATGGTTCCTTGTATAGAACAGGTGGGCAAAGTGCGGCCCATGGGCCGCAATTTGCCCGACAGAGATTTTTTTGCGACCAGTGAAAATTAATTAAAAACCCTATGTGTGCGGCCTGCCAAGCAAAATTGGCTAGAAAACACCTTGTCATTTAGGCACGACACCCATCATATGTAAAAAGTAACATTAAAACTGAGAATGAAATGGTGTAAAAGCAGTGCCGGGAGGTTTTTGAAAGCTCACTAGAAACATAAAAGTTTGGGTGCAGCCCTCGGTGTTAAATAAAAAATTTGGCCCTCCGACCGATTTTTAAAACAGGCTATCTTTATAACATTTGCTCATTTGGAATTTCTATATCACACCTATTTTCTAGTCGTTCTATATATCCAGATTTTTCTCCAACAACAAAACAAAAAAACTCCGACAAGGAGTGTCAATATTACTTCTGTACTTCTACTTCTACTTTTAGGGTCAGTGCCCATTAGTAATTCTCTTCTATGATTATTACGCCTTATTAATATTATCAGTATTAACATTATGCTTACTTAAGTTTTATAAAGTATGCGTACTGTATATAATAATCATTATGTATTTTTAATGTTTATATTACTAACGTTTGTTATACACCGAATGCAATTTAACATTCTCTTTTATTGTGACAACTAAGGTGTGAATAGAATATCGATATACAGTATTCTTTACTAAAGTTACAGAATTTAATGTTTGCACTATCCTAATTATTGTGTAGCACAACAAAAAGTAGAATATATCAAAAACATGAGTTGCTTTATATATTCAGATATTATCTTTGGCCTGTGAGCCCAACTTAAAAAAATATTTTGGCCCTTTAAACAAATTAATTAAGAATCAAGGGCATACCGATTTTCACATCAGATTCCGGGAAGGAAATTCTGGTTTGAAGTGAAGTATATTGCTCAAAATGTGTCAAAATCATTTCTTTTGAGGCTACTCTATTTTTGTAAGATAGTATAATACATACTCCAAGTATCGAAATGCACGCCATCGTGTCGGGATTCAATATTTCGACATAAATTACGTCATCATCAGGATGATCTAGTTTTTGTGATACAATGAAAAAATTAAGTGTCCCCTTAATAGGGGTTGAATATGTATTGATACCATTTAAAACACCTAGAAAGTGTGCCGTCCTATTAATGGGATTGTCCCCTTAAATAAGGGTTGGCCGTAGTGTTTATAGATATAATTCCCCTCGTTTCACTAAAAAGTGTCCCCTTAGTAGGGGTGTCCCAAAGTAATGGGTTCCACTGTATTATATTGGCCGTATATTTTGTATCTTGGACAATACTTCTATGAAAATTTGAGATCTTGGTTCGTGCGAAGCTAGGGGCACACGTTTACGTGTGTCATAAATTATACATAGCAACGCGGATTTAAGAGATTGCACATCCTGCAGCAGGGCAAAAAAGTACTCCCATAGGGTAATAGTACTTTCTATTGCCCACTTCGTAACCAATCAGATGCCTAGAATCTATGTACAGTATGCGGTATATATAATCTTCTCAAAAATTATTGTGGGTGTACAGTATAACTTAACTCTAACATGTCATTTTTAAAGGTGAATATACATTGGATAAGAGGAATCATAACAATTTCTTCTTTTAACACTTTGACCGCCAGGGGTTTGAAAAAATAGTATCAGCCACCGCCACACTTTTTAGCAAAATTTAACACATTTCCAAACTCGTTGAGAGTGTGTATGTGATCAGATTGACATGTAATAAATACTCAAGAAGAACAAACATCTTAGCTTTACAATGGTACCACTGAAACACTTTATTCTAATCACAATCTGTGACCCGTAACAGTAAAATGAATGCGACTCACTTTTGTGAGACAACCACGTTTCAGTATCGACGTGCAATATGAGGTCACTATAGGTCACATTCAAATAGCGAACACTTACAGTCCAGACTAAATATAGTGTTCACATTGTTAGTACATGTCGGTAATTACCCCATCTATCGGAATTGGTTAAAAAAAAAACTTGAAACACAGATCTCCATTTTGACAGTCAAGCGTTGCGTTACCAAACACGGAGATCTCGTGTTTGGCGGTCAGAGTGTTAAAAGAGGAAACATCTCTTTGAATGTAAAGTGTGCATTAATCTATGATTTTAGTGGTGGCATGAGGCCTTTTTGGGTAGCACAATGTACGGCAACATGTTTTCTCCAAAATGTTTCCTCAGTAAAGCCTTACCTCCCACGTGACACTGTAGCATAGTAGTAAGGGCTGCAAGATCTACATCAGGTTTATTTGGATCTTTTTTTTTTTCCCTTGCTCCAAAATGCTACAAGCATTAGATACACAAGGTTGAGGAGAACATTACCTCCATGCCGGTTAAATCCAACCTTAGCTAGTGTAGGTTCAGCATAAAATTATTCCAAAGTTCAATATCATGACTGGATCAGCATTAATGGTTCCTTCTCAACCATCTCATAATCGGAGATCATCGCCGCATCACTTGATTCCTCAATATCGCTTCGTAGATGTTTCGGTGAATGAACGGGCAAGGTGTTATTTTCTGTATGCACTGGGACAAAATATACAACCAGCAGCGATACGAGCACCAAACAAGCACCGAAAAGGAACGGCGGTCCTGGGACGATTGTCTGTTTGAAAACAAATACTCAATTAATATTTACACTTGATTATTTACATTTAATATTTAAGGCCGGGCACTCAAAACGTTAAATACAACTTCGATGCCCTTGAGCGCTAGACAATGCAACAGCGTATACTGATTGTTTGTGATAGTCTGAGCGGTAATCATTAAAAATAATCCATTGCGCGTGCATCGTGGCGTTGTGTTCTTAATAGACGATCGTTGGCCGCAGTGAGTGACCGGCTTTAATACTGTGTACTTTTGATAATAAAACAGAAATATTGTATTAAGTATGTTAAAACAATTTCAATATAATACATTCAATACACAATAAAAACAAAAACAACAAAAAATTAAGCCCAATTTGCTGAAATGCACAGATGTACATTTTACATTGCTAATAAAAACGAATGTTTACTCTTTGGGTTTAATTTTGTATATTAATAAATTTTATTCTAGTATAAAAATCATTAGACAATATGTCATCAATTCTGATTTTAATAAATTTTAAAAGTATTGTGCAGACATTTAAATTGATAGCTTAATTTATGTTTTAAACCAACAGTTTCTTCTGCGTCAAACCTCTAAATGGGACCCCAAAATAATTAGAGGGTTGCAATATTTCTTCCAGGATTTTTTTGTAATTGACTTTTATTATTGCACCCAATTCATGCATGACTATTTTAATAACAGTAGCGGCAAAATGTACCCGGAAGTTTGCTTGGATCATCTCCCAAAAGACTTTAATAAAAACCGCTGTTTTCAATCAACAAAATGTTTATCCGATTCTAGTATAAACAATGTAGGGCTGAATTTTGCTGGTTCAAGCCCTTAAAAGAGAACTAGCAAAATGATCTTTCGTTTTAGAGGAGATTTTAGATATGCCATTAATTATAGAATCAACCTTAAAATCGTTATTTCGCAATTGTTTATGAAGTTATAGGCCATTATATACGATTTTACCATGACGTCACTGGCGAAAAAAGTAACAAAAGATTGTGTATATAGCGCCGCGTAGGGTATCCACCGCGTACGATCTTTGCGTGCATGCTATAACCATGGTTGCTGTAACTTGCATATCAGGTCATAGGCCTATAACTGCATCAGCCGTTGTCAACAAATGAATTACAGCCATGGTTACAGCATGCACGCAAAGATCGTACGCGGCGGATACCTATCTTTGTTACATTTTTAGCCAGTGACATCACGATTAAATAATATAATGGTCTAAAACTTCATAAGAAATTGCCAAAAAAACGATTTTAAGGTCGATTCTATTATTAATGCATATCAAAATTCCCCTCTAGAACAAAAAATCATTTTGCTAGTTCTCTTTTAATCTTCACACCATATGAGCATGGTATAACTGTACAATGGCTGGCAGGAAGCATATGCTAATATTTTATGTCTTTAGTCTGGAAAATGCATCTCACTGACAGGGATACAACGTATTAGCAATATGTAAAATATTTAATCCACACATCTGTTTCCTTAATACTTCTTTGAAACAACATGTAAAATTCATGACTTCAGAATTTGATCTGTGAGATTTGCAAGGTTTATTTCTAATTTTTCATCTACAACTGCCATATTAGATCAATGAACTTTAACATAAATATAAAGGTCAAGTATACTTATTTATTTATATTTCCACTATCAATGAAAATCCCATTTGGTTTTATCATGCAACAGTCACATATACATAATTTTAGTTTTTCAAAACCTATCGAAAACTCTTAAAACAGCCTTATTTTTACTATATTTTTTTACACTTAGTAAATTGGATATCTGAACTACATATCATGTATTTTAACACCATTTAACATAATTTACATTAAGTTTATTTATGTGTTTATTGAAAATTGTAAAAAATTTCATGTAAACATTTACAAGACATTAAAGAGAAACTTGAACCTGATGGCCTAGGTGATTTAGCAGTCGGATCTCAAAGGGTTAAAAATGAATGTATCAACTTATGTGTTTATTGAAAATTGGAAAGAATTTCATGTAAACATTTACAAGATAATAAAGAGAAACTTGAACTTGATGTCATGGGTGAATTAGCAGTCAGACTTCAAAAAAAGGTTCAAAATAATGTATCCAGGGGAAGATTTAGAAAGGGGGTGGTGCAACTCCTCCCCAAGTTTTGCCATGCATCTTTTATTTTTTAATAGAAAAACAAAAAGGATACAAATAATAAATGTTACAATATTTCTTATCAGAATACGGAACATGAATCACACCATTATTGAATACATTGTATTCTAGGCCTATATGAAATCCATGCCCCCTCATTAAAAAAAATCTGGATCTGCGCCTAGTATCTGACCAGAGCACTGTATTAAACTTGGTGAGCTATTATCTGATGATGAAGTGTGTTGAAAAAAAACATGATACTTAAGGCCAACTCAGACAGCGTCGGCCGATGCAGCCCGACCCGATTTATCGTCGGGAACAGTCTTAAGCCGTTGTGAGAAATATTAAACACGTTTAATATTCTACTACGTGACTGCCCCCGACGCACACCATCGCGTCTGCGTTCAACTCACACAGACCCGACGCGACAAAAATCGCGTCGGGCTGCGTCGGCCGACGCTGCGTTGGCCGACGCTGCGTTGGCCTTTATATGCATGCTTCTCTGCTTTTATTCTGCCTAAAAATAAAAATACTAAATTGAATATTAAATTTCATTCATGTTAAGCTACTGGTAAATAACCCTTATTTTTTTGTAACTTTGTTTACAACATATTATTATTAATTATTATTATAAGTTAGGTGTTATATTCAAGGTTTCCAATCAATAATGTAACTTACCAGCTACATTTCCATAACATAGCTGGTAAGTTATATTTTAGATGGCTTATCTTTCAAGAAATAAGTACCTGTATATATTCAGATCAGAACCAACATGAAATAAATTTTTATTATTAACACAATAATACATGTACAGATACTGTCTCTTATACACATCTAGATGTGTATAAGAGACAGCCTACAAGGGTCCCAGGTTTGTTGGAGAAGCCACTTCAGGAATATCTAATTTAATCAGCTTTCTTAGCGCATCTAATAATCATATTGCTGCGAATTGTGATACTCATGAATGGCTTATTGACTTCAGGAAGACAAGTAAATCACGTTAAACAGCGATTATACTGTAAAAGCATGAGGCACGCAACATGTAAACACGTTGGGCTTTCCATCGGAAAGGTCGGGGTAGAGACTGATCATACTTGTGTCCATGCAATACATTATATAGTCAACAAAGGCTCTAACGTCTCCTGGAAGTTGCGGAAGTCTCCTGCAAATCCCAGGTCTCTCCCTCACACCTGTAAGCAAGCAAGAATCATAACGTTCCCAGCCCAAAATTAGAAATATTTAAATGCAGCTTTAGCTACCGTGCTCCAACTCTTCTCAACTCACTCCCATATTCAATGAAAAACACTCCCTCCTTGGGAATAAAACTAGATTCAAGCCCTTAAGATTCAATTCCCATTGATTGTTATTTGATTCTCACTTTCACTTTATTGATGTATTGCACTTTTATTACTTTCACAATTCCCACATTTTCACTTGAGTATGATGTATTATAACAGACCTTTGTTTTAAACAATGGCAGTATTCGACTGGTCGTTCTTCGTTAAACCACGCCCACCTGCGCAGCGGTAAAATCCTACTTAACGAAGACAACCAGTCAAATAGAAAACTGGTAAATGATCGACAAAACAAAATGGCTGCATAGTTACCGCGATACACGCTGCGTAATCAAGGCTGCTTCAGATTGTAGCACTAAGAAAAATGTTTTCATCTAGTTTTTGAATTCTGTTAGCCTACAATTATGTTTTGACTTCAATGTGGTTAAATATCATAATTTTTATTATCTGAAATTTAATCTAAATTACATTAACGCAAATGTTGTTGCTAAACTGAAAATCGGCCATATTTTTTGTGGTGACGTGCACAACTTAACGCTGATTAAAACGCATTCTGGTTACATTAATTTTCATTGTCAACGAAGTATATTTTATGAACCAGTCGAATGAAAATAATACTCAACAAAAATTCGTACTCAATGAAATGAACCAGTCGAATAAGCCCAATGTACATATATCTGTTATTTTTGTTACCCGATTTTTGTTTATATTCTGTTTATATGTATCGTTTTTGAGTTGTCAAAGTGGGACCATACATATTAGCTATGCTGGAAAGCGTCACCCATTTACAGTATTGTTCAAATAAATGAATAAAAAAAATCTCTCTCTCTCTCTCTCTCTCGATATTCCAAAAATTCATAGTAGTTGCATGCTTTTTTGCTACAATATCAATTGTCTCGGAAGACAGTGCGCAGTGGTAGCGCCAGGATTTTCCCGATTGGGGGGGGGCTGATTCCCCCGACGAGGGGTCAGATTCCCCTGACGAAAGCAATGTGTGCATGGTCGGGCTTCGATTACAAGGTTTTGAAAGTGGCCCAGGGGGCGAAGCCCCCGAAAATTCTAACAATTTAGGGATTTCAAAGGCTTATTTAATAAATTTTATAGAGTCTACTAATATGTAGAAAATACGTATAACTTTTTTCTCCTGGCGAATTGTGCTTTTGCTCCCCGTCGGGGAGTTAAAGTTTGCGTGTTCACAACTTTGCAATAAATTGTCGTAAACTTTTGAATTGTGATTATATGTAAAATTTTAATTACAACCATTTATTTATTAAGTTATTAGTGATAATTCAGATACGTTGTTTTTTTTTCTGAAACATGTCAGGCTCTGTATTGTTGCAAGTGTGACATATTTTTGGAATTTATCGAGTTTGGGGCAATCATATGCATTCTTGTTCATATGTCATTGATACTTCTAAATGATATAAAAACACCAATAACCATTTGAGTTTGCGTTGCCAAACTCCATCAGCTCAATACAGTTTTTGAATATCATTCCGAGGCAAAACAACGTATCTACATCGTAGATACGTTGTTTTGCCTCGTAATCTTGTAGTTACATTGTTTTGGCATGGAAAATCACTGGATTTTAGGTTTTGTGCTTAAAGATAGGTGGTGCTATCTCCGAAACGACTCATTATTGAGACCTGAAATTTTCACAGGTAATTCAGACACGTTTAATATACTCCTAAATGATATTTAAAAATCAACAAAAATGTCAGTTACATTGTTTTGGCTCAGGACCACCGCGTGACTGTGGTTACCACCATGCGCAGCGAAATAAAGTTAGAAGGAAGCTCATTTAACTAGATCTCCCACAAGCGAATTCTTCCAACTTGGGACCCCTAAGGCAAGAAAAAAAATTCCTACAGTGACCAACTTACTGCATATGCAGGAGGTTTCAGCTGAGTTTTTGACTCGGTGTCCCCGAAGTCATCTCCAACGTCATCTAAGTCCACATGAAATATGTAAAATATGAAACCAAATAAGGCAGGTCCAAGTCCATTGCAAAGACCTCGTATACCGGTCACCATCCCTTGTACAACACCTACAAGACAAAAACACATTTATATTTTTTTTTTAAATCACTTTTATTCAAAGCAACGATTAGAACACATGGATAAAAGGAAAACAAAAAGAAAACTCTCTAGCATCACATTCTTAAATAAACAACAAGAGAGGGGACAGAGCCAAAACAGTTTACAAAAGAAGGAAGACGAGGAAAGGAAAGAGAAAACAAGACAAACAAGAGAGAAGTCATATATAAAAATTTATAAAAATTGCGTAGTAGGGAAATTATTAATATTAAAATTCAGGAAAATATTAAAGATTACGAAATTGCAAAACTAGGTAAAAATCGATATTTGCAAATAAATATACAGGATATTTCAATTTCCTGGGATTATATAAAAATACAATACATTAGGGAGGGTATCTGTCATGGATACACAACATCAAAGCGGAGGGGCTTAGCGAAAAGGTTCATTTGCCTATCCACCATATGGTGCTAGTTTACCTAAGCTATAAGCATAAAATGAAATGATCGCGTTGCATAGATAAGAGTCCCAGTACTTTCTGTATTATATTACAATATGGAGGTACAAACTGATTAGCATAAAAACCAACCTCCTGAAACATATGTTATCTAAAGGAAACATCTTCATAACCTCTTTACTATGCATGGACTGGGTAAGGAGTGCTCAGTGTTAATGTTTTCTATAATGTTAAAAAAAATGTAAATGTACAATATATTATATGCACCCTTCCATTTGAGAGCCCTATAATTCCAAGACACCCCCTCTAATAAAAGACCACTTATTCAAAGCTAACCTTCTAATTGGAAACCGAACCCAGATTACCCAAAACTTTCAGCTACCAAAGGTGGTCATGAATTTATACAGGGTGAACTGTATATTAAGGAAATTCGGTTTAGGAATATATTGAGTCCTGTAGTAATCAATATGTAGTTTCTACCTGCCAAGACTTTTAGGTATACATTGGAGCTTTACAGACATTAAATTATGAAACGTGATAGACTCGCCACCTAGACCTCTGATGATTACTTCAAAAATGTTAATACAATAACGACATGTTGATCATTATTGTATTTTCAGCCACTCCATGATTATTTTCTATTTTTCCTTCTTCCCATTCTTATTATTATATTGAATTTGTTATCATTGCAGTACAAGTGGTTTGGCGCAGTGGGAATGGTTTGGTTTCCAAACCTCAAGGTTGGGGTTTGAATCTCCTCCCTTTGCATTCGCTTGTGTCCTTGGGAAAGGCACTTTATCTACCTTGCTTCTCTCCACCCAGGAGTATAAATGGGTACCTGGTAGGGTTAAATGCCAAAATGCGCTGATGTAGATGCTGCAACTTTATGGAACAGTTTGTGTTCCATAGGGGTCTAATCCAATGAACAGGGGTAGTAATGTGAAGCGCTTAGAGGCCTTGTTGGCATTAAGCGCTATATAAATATCACATATTATTTATTATTATTATTATTGATAATAATTATACTAAAATTAATAAGTACGGCATAAGTCTAAGCTTAGGTACTAACATAGGCCTAGAACTTCCCTAATCACTGTGTACATTCAAATCAAAAGTTGCCTGGTCCCGGCCACCACTGGATAGGCTTTCTTCAAAAAGGCTTCTATGAATGGATGTCTTGTTTTGGAGCAGCAAATCAAGTTATCCTTCCCCGCTACCAGCAGATTATAAATCGACACAGAAATCTACTGATAGATAGTGTGCAGATAGAACCAATGTAAAATTTCTTCTCTTCACAAGTACTGTACTATATAAGTTTCCTTAACTATTTTAGTTGAAAAACTACCAGTTATTTCTTATACCTGTACATTAAAGTTTCAATCCAGTACAGGTGCTAATACCTACTGTATAAAATTTCAATAATGGTGGGGCTAAGGTATATGGAATTTGTACATCTCTCTTTAGGGCTCCCCAGAATTTCAATTTTTGATTCCACCACTAATGATGAATCCAATGAAAATGCAATTACACAGTGCTTTAAAAATGAGTGGATATATTGGACAAGACATCTTTCTATATCTGAGCCTATAGCCACTGTTTTATACTTATTTTACAAAAGTCAATCAAGATAATCTGTAAGTAGGAAATTCTTGTTTCTAACAAAGTAGGTCACTGATGTAAGGTTGTTTGCCAAGGTGCAACCCAGGGAAATAAGTTGGAAGGAAATGTGCAATACAGTACATGTAGTTAGCAGTAAGAATAACAAATTATAGATATAAAACATCGACCACACTCAAATTGTTTTTGACAACAACCTGTTTTATGCCCATATATAGTCATGATATTCCTAATATATGGTCATAATGTGATGTCATCAGGATCAGAAGCATGTCAATTTGATAGTCTGGAAAGGTCTTTTCTGTTAAGCTCCAATTACACTAGACACGATAATAACACGACAACAACATATCATCGCGTCGTTTATATTCTACAACACTGAGCGCATTTTTATCAAGTGATTATTGTGTCTAGTGTAAATGTAGCTTTAAAATCACCTTGTTGATCAGGCTCTGCATTTTTGGATATTAATGCACTAACGGAGGGGTACGTTACACTGCACATGGCTGCTATCGTTCCTGCTCCCCATAACATCCAATCCTGCGATGCGAATCCATACCAGGCTAGCTCAGCTAATTGGAACGACAATCCAAACATAATAGTATGTTTGTTACCTAGGTTTTTCATCAGAAAACTTAATAATAATGTCTGAAAAAGGAAACAAAAAGTATCCATTTGAAAATCAATTCTATCTGAATGCATTATAACATTGAGTAATTTTTGACATGCATCAATATTGCTGATTGTCTTGGAAGTTTACCCTTCCTTCATTACAATATTAAAAATAGATTTTCGGACATCATCATGCTTCATTACTGTTGCTGCAATAGAATCAATGGTGTATCTAGGGGTTGTGTGGGGGCAGGGGGAGCATGCACACAGAAACAATTTTCCCCCTCAGGTTCCCCTTTGAAAATATTTGAAGCAACAAAATCATGCTAAAGTAGTTAAAAATCACCTCATATCACCCATAATGTTTGCAAGCTAGTGCCCCCTCTTTTAATCATCAAGGTTTCAACTGAACTTTCATGCCCACACCCCCTTCCCCCCTCCCCCTTATCTGAAGATTCCTAGATATGCCACTGGAGGGAATGATGATAAATTATCTTAATAACAGCAACTGACATTTTCAGAAGATTCACTTTTTCTTAATTAAGTTCTTTCATCACAGCATTACATATTAACTTTGTTTTACATTAAACAAAATGGTAAATTACAAAATGCATTGCACATGATGATATTAACTTTAATATGGAAATACACCTCCACTGGCAATAAAGATGATGACAAAGTTCTTAGAAAAGTGAATTGTCCCATAATGGTAAATTATGGGACAATGGTTTCAACTGAACTTTCCTGCCCACACCCCCTTCCCCCCTTATCTGAAGATTCCTAGATATGCCACTGGAGGGAATGATGATAAATTATCTTAATAACAGCAACTGACATTTTCAGAAGATTCACTTTTTCTTAATTAAGTTCCTTCATCACAGCATTACATATTAATTTTGTTTTACATGAAACAAAATTATAAATTACAAAATGCATTGCACATGATGATATTAACTTTAATATGGAAATACACCTCCACTGGCAATAAAGATGATGACAAAGTTCTTAGAAAAGTGAATTGTCCCATAATGGTAAATTATGGGACAATGGTTTCAACTGAACTTTCCTGCCCACACCCCCTTCCCCCCTTATCTGAAGATTCCTAGATATGCCACTGGAGGGAATGATGATAAATTATCTTAATAACAGCAACTGACATTTTCAGAAGATTCACTTTTTCTTAAGTTCCTTCATCACAGCATAACATATTAACTTTGTTTTACATGAAACAAAATGATAAATTACAAAATGCATTGCACATGATGATATTAATTTGATATGGAAATACATCTCCACTGGCAATAAAGATGATGACAAAGTTCTTAGAAAAGTAAATTGTCCCATAATGGTAAATTAATCTAAATTGGTATACATTAACCCATCAATCAGTCTGTTGTCTGTTGTCTGTCTGTGACTATTTATCTTTATAGGCAAAAGGGATCACCTTTTCCACTATTCACACATATTCATAAATCTTATAAATGTAAAACAGGAAATGATCATGATTTTTAAGGTGCACGTATCTATCATCCATGGAGAGATGCACGACGAGCCCCTGCCTCAAAATAACAATGAAAGTAATTGCAGAGAAAGGACAAACAAAGACAAAGAACAAAAACATGATCTAATGTACAAGTAATAACTGAAAAGTTTTAAGTTTAGATTTAGAATGCCCAAGTGATTCTTAGGTACAAGTGGCAAGTGGGATTCCATCTCAAGAAGACAGGCCAGCCACAGAAAATAAAAGGTGTTTCAAATATATGGGTAGATAAGAAGTAATTTTCAGCATGTGTAAGACCTTGCCACACAGGCTGGTAGAATCTGGGCAAGATATTCAGGATATCCATCCATGAGTGCCTATAAATAAGGAGCTGATCTTGAATTTTGATCTGAGATGGATAGCTAACCAATGAATTTAAGTACAGTAGTGATATGATGTTTTTTTTTTTGTTCGTGTGATAAGCTTAGTAGTGGTATTTCGAATTTGTTGCAGCTTGTCGGTGAAAGATTTTGGGAGGCCAACATGAACCAAGAGAAATCTAATCTACATGAACTGACAAGGATTTCAGTGACATTGATGTAATAATATCCTTATGAATTCTTTCAATACTTTAATTACGCAGACATGAAGCTCGACAAACTGCACTGACATGATCTAACATGGACAATTCGCTATCTGAAATAACTCCCAAGTTTTTGCAAGTTAAAAATGGCTGAATGACGATATCACCAGCAACTAATTCGTGGTGCCCCACTTTAGTAAGTTGCAGTGGGAACTGATAACCATAAACTCGGTCTTAGATTCATTTAGCTTCAGTTAATTTGTAGTATAGCCATGTCTGAATTTCCTGAATACAACTCTCTTTCTGATATAGACATGATATAAACAGTGCAAGATCAGTCAAATTTGTTGATTTATGTGAATGAAGTGAAAATGAATTAATAACAATGATGACAATAAAAGAAATTGTTACAATAATAACAGTAACTAGAGGGCGCTCGGAGAGTGCATACCTCCGCCCACATCATAATACTCCTCAGTATAAATTTTTCCCACATATTGTCCCCATAAAAAAATATAATGAAAAAAAAGAGAAGAAAACTTGGGGTTTGAACCTGGGGTTAGTGTAAAAAACACTCTTCTAACCACTAACACCAAACTGTTTTCCCATTATCACTTTAAAATGGCCAAGTTTGATGAATTTCTGATAAAAACTAGGCTGTTTCACAACAAATATGCCAAAAGACAAATAAATAAATAAACTGGGGCAAAAACATAACCTCCTGCCAACTTCGCTGGTAGAGGTAGTGAGATCTTTGGTCATGGAACATTGTGACCAAGTTTGACAAGTTTGTGATTAAAACTATGGGCTGTAGACAAGTAAATAAAAAAAATGTTTTTTGTTGATTGTGACCTTACACCTTTGACTCTGACTCTTCAAAATTTAATCAGCTCTAGATCTTAAGTAAAGGAACATTGTGGCCAAGTTTGAAGAAATTCTGATAACAACAAATATGCTGACAGACAAATAAATAACTAAATAAAAAAACAGGCAAAAACACAACCTCCTGCCAACTTTGTTAGCGGAGGTAATGATAATGAAAACAGCATCAGCAACAGACAACAAATTAACAATAATATATTCTTATAGTAAAATGTCTGAAAATCAGCAAAAATACTGACATTTCCCATCTGTGTTTTTATATGTTGATAATTTATGTGATCGTTGTATTTCAGCTATTTTTCCGTGTTTTTTCTGGTTTCATCAGGCAGGTACTGTCAGCTACTGTAGAACCTCCATTTTAAGTACTATAATTTTACGTCCCTTGATAACATGGACTTATCACTATCTGTATTTTAATATCTAAAATTACTAGATCGTTTCTGTGTACTTTAGATTCAATGAACCAAGCTAACATTGTGTTTTGTGATTACTGTATTCCATTATTATGAGACATTTTGAGCACTGTAATTAAATCGTAAACAATCTATAGTGATTAATGCATGGTTGCTTTCAATTAACTGTCCTTCACTCAAAGGTGTGAATTACAACTCCAGCTAAAAAAGGGAATTCCCTACGGTGAGAAAGCATGACCGGGCAATGACATATTTTGCATACAAACCGCTAGTTGTCATGTCCCTCAGCCAACATGGTTTTGTAACAAGCAGCCTGTATGCCTCGTTGCTCAATTTATGAATGTGTACGGCCTTGAACAACATTGTTTACAAAGATACGGAAATGAAATCATTTGCAGTAGGTATAGTACTGTATTGTATTTTCCATTTGTTTTTATTAAAAAGAAACAAGTAATGAGGTAAAAAAAAACTAAAACGTTGGGATTCAATATGTCGACATTAATTATGTCATCATCAGGAATGATGATATGACATCATACAGCGTAACATTATACATCATCACAGGCTGGCCATCTTACTGTACTGTAGGCAAAAAAATTGTGTTGCTCCTGGCAACACGACTGCATGTTGACGGTCAGTTGAATTTGACCCAACTTGGATTTTATGTACGCCCATTGGTCCTGTACCATACACAAGATGAAGGTTCTACTGTATATCTTTTTAAAAATTGCTAACAAAGAAAAACAATAATAAGGTACAATAAAATATTACAGTTAACTCACCTGCGCAAACACTGAGAGGACTCCTATCAAGGCTATATATGCTGCAACTTCTTCTGAGCTAAATCCACCCCTCTGAAGGTACAAACGTAAAAAAAATTTAAATGTTCAATTACAAAAAAAAAATGTAGTCTAATATTGAAAACAATTTCAATTGTAATAACTTTTTAAAAAAAAATAATGTAATGTGATTATATATAATGTAGATGCTTGTTATAAACCATATTGATGACAGTAAATCAGGAAAAAAAACTGTTTGGGCAGTTTGGCAAGTCGAGTGGCCATGCAGTAAGGCAGGGGCTCCGCTAACTGCAGCCTTAACATCGAGACTGGTTTCAGCTGCTCCTTGTCCAGGGTTTGGTTGGTAGAACCAAGTCTTCTTGGATAAGGACTTAAACTGGAGGCCCGTACACATTTGGCTCGTGTGCACTTTAAAGAACCCATTGCATTTTCTAGAATTGCATCTTCTAGAAGAGTAGGTGGGTTACCCTGATGTTAGGGTTCATTACAGCCCATCGTGGTATGATATGAACATGTAGCTACTACAGTATATGTGCCTTTTTACAGCTGCTAGGTAGTCACGGACCACGCCCATGCGCAATTCAGCACAATGTCGCTGCAAGTTATGGGTTATTCTCCTATTCTCTTATTAACTTTTTTATGGTGTGTTGTGTTATTTTTCAGTTTTAGGTTTTTCATACAAAATAACAACTGCGGGATGAATATAAAATTAATTTCAGTGCTAAAATACAATCATTATCCTTTAATGTATGGCAATAACTTACATGATAGTAATGTCAAACAAATAAAATGGTTTGATTTAACCGATTGATTGATTTAATATTTAATATTTATTGACAACAGAGTAATAGAAAATGTTACCAAGCTCTGCAAATTGAATAAGGTCAAAGAGAATAGAAAGGGCAATATGCTCATTGGGAGCACAAATGAATAATACAGCCATAAACTCAGTCTACACAACTATCCTACTGTAGGACAGCCTGCTTGTTTAATATCTGTTTTCCACATGATACAGTACTTGCATAGAGAGCGGTAGGTTCATTTTTTTATCTCTATCATCATATTAAATTCTCCTTTCCCTAAAATATAGACTAGTCGTGAAGAAACGGAATTAAGCCCAAGACGTTTACGGTACACAGATAGTCACCAGAAGCAGAAGAACAGCTTAGAGGGGGCCTTCGAATGTACAGATTGGAATGTATTTTTAAATAGTTCTGTAGGAATTGATGATCTAATACCGATTGTGTTTGTTCATATATAAATTTTTGGAAAGGCATGTGTATGATGAGTGAAAACTCGAATGAAAAAAGCCAAGTAAATCACTATCTGATGAGTCGTATGCTAAATAAATGAGTTCTATTGTAGGTTTTATAAGTACAATTTCTCAAATGCTGGGGCGGACGCAGGATTTGACGTAGGGGGTGCGTGAGGGTCCACCTCACTTTCCCCACCATGGTTGGGCTGCAGGAATGGAAAATTTTGAGAATAGTGACCTCTCAGGCGCTGATCCAGAGTTTTAGCTCGGCTTCCAAGAATCGCTTAATACTCTATCGCCGATAGTCACGACAGTTGTGGTTCACAGACCAATCGGGGTTCTTTCCCAATTGCGCAGGGCAGCTAGCATTGCTCCCTGATTCATCTGCATCTGCAACACAATCAGAAAAGTTGAACCAGGTTCAACCTTCCCAACAACTGTCGGCAATCGTCCCCAATAGGGTGAGCGATTATATGGAAACCAATCTTTACCCTGACTACCGCACATAATGGGGTCCCTGAGTGGGTGGGGGTCATGGGAAGAGAACGTAATGTTTGCTTGTTCCGTCGCTGGAAGGCTATTTTAGATGTTGGGCGGGGAGGTTTGCAGTAGTCTTGGGGTTCTAATAGCTTCAGAAAGTTTTGTTTTTTTTCTAGATGCTGAGAAATGCACTTATGTGCACACTGAGTTAATAGATTCCCCCATTTTAAGCATGGACAATTAATAATTGCAATGATGATGATAATGATGTTGATGATAATGATGTGATGATGATAAGGAGGAGGAGGCATCGTAGCAGGTGACGACAGGCTCCTGTGCAAGGTTGATTAACAGGCCCTGTGATATGAGTGTCAACCGAGGCCTGTATCCCGAGTTCGTCGTCACATTTTCAATGCAAACAATCGGAAAACAGTAATTATAAGTTATAATCAGTACATTCTCGACTGTGATGAAAAAATTACGTTACATGTATGCTCAGAAGCGGAAAGTTTAACCTAAAAGTTTGATATACGTTTCATGTTGTTTGTTGAATGGTCTTTAATGATATATTCTAATATGACCACAACATAATTTTTCACCTACAAAGTTCAGACCCATATACATTTATATTTCCTTAGGCCTAAATCATAAGGAAGTCCGCTCATATCCAAATTCCAGGAAATTATACGTTTTATGCATGCACCGACCTTAGAATTTTGTTTCATGTTTTTTCCTGAATGGTCTTCTTAAAAAATATTACAGTCTAATATGAGCACAACATAAGAAAGTCCATTCTTTAAATGTTTAATAGATAGTACAGAGAATTATGATTGTTGTGCCGACGTGGAAAGATTAACCTAATAATCTTTTTAATAATGCTCTTCTAAAATTAATCTTATGACCACAACTTTTAAGTTGTAACTTCAGAAAAAACAATAATGCATTCTTATTGGTCAAAGAGAATAGAAAGGGCAAGAGGCTCATTGGGAGTACAAATGAATAATACAGCCATAACTCAGTCTACACAACTATTGTAGGACAGCCACTGCCGAAAGGGCAAGATGCTCATTGGGAGTACAAATGAATAATACCGACATAACTCAGAGAACAGAGAATTATGATTGTTTATCAAAATCATTATACACATGTTAAATCCAATTAAAAAAAAAATGAATAAAAAAAATATGTTTTCAGTGCATGCGCCGATGTGGAAAGGTTACCCTAATAATCTTGTTAATAATGCAGTTCTAAACTTAATCTTATGATCACAACGTTCAAGGTCTAACTTCAGAAAAAATAATAATGCATTTTCATTGTACCGCTACCAGCTGAAAAAGTAATTAAATATGCATAAATGTTGTCTGTGATTGGTCGATTGCCAACATTTCAATGCTTAGTGGTTGGATGGTCGGATATAATAATGATCTCATAATAATTTCATATTTCGAAAACTTTGTTTGGAATATATGATCACGTTCCATGACAGATTACATCCACATGGTGACCCTAAGCCAAAATTTCAAAATTGAATAAAGTGTGTTTTTCCGAATTACGACTGAAGAGATTAGGCCTACTGGTTAAAATGTAAAAATTTAAGATTTTATTTTTAAATCACAGAAAATACCAAATTTATATTCGGTACATTCAGACGGTCTTGGAAATGTGGACCTTATCAAATTTGGTTGGGTGCATTATACACACTCTTCATAACACCCCACCTACTGGATATACGGGCCTGAAAACTTTACATTTTACCTGCCAATTTAAACAGTTTTATACACTAATTAGATATCTTCTCAATTTCTCAGTATTTTTTTTTTTCTACTTCCAACACCATATGATTTGAAATTTACATTCCATTCACGTTGTTGCTCTTCTTCAGATTCTGTGTTCAAGTTCAGTCTCTCAGTGCTCGGTGGTTATTTTTGACTTTCTTTTTAGATGTACTGTATCAAAGTGTGTTCGTACGTTTTAAGATCTAGGTCTAGAATTAGGCTACCAACTCCATAAAAAGACTTGTTTTGGTGTTTTTTTTTTTTTTTAACGAATAGCATTCGTTAAAATAATGAAATAATAATTTATTAATCAATCAATGTTTTCGCTTTGGTGTAATTGTTCAGGTAGACGTAACTCAAAAAGTAAATCTTTTTTAATCTCCAAATTTTTAGAAATCGTAACCCACCAGCAGTACTCCCTATATATACAGTAATAAACCTAACTAAACTTATTGGACCCAGATGCAGCCCTCCAAAAATGCTAAAGTTTGTCCAGGCAGGTTTTTATCCCATTTTTAAACCATTGCTTTTCCAAATTGGTACATGCTAGAATTTTTCTGATTGCAGATTTGGAATCAACAGTAACAGATGTTCTACATCCGAAGATATTAGCATACTAAAATCATAGTTAATTTCATGGTACACTATTTTGTGCCACACCCCCTTTACAATAAACTGCCGCTACGGGAAAAATTTCAGGTTTTTCAATTCACGTGAATAACTGTCAGTATAAAAAAAATAAAATATATGATCCCATGGCATAGAATGACCCAACTCTTAATAGCTTTTGTTATTTCCGATTACGTTATTAAAAATATGTGTAGTTTTCAACATAGTATCTAACCATGGAGGAGCTGAGTACCAAAGCTGAAATTTGTGGTATAAGTAGATGTAATATATCTGGTTCTGGTTTTTCTTTTTTTCTAAGTGTGTTTGTAAGTTTTAAGATCTAGGTCTACAATTAGGCTACCAACTCCATAAAAAAACTTGTTTTTTTTGTTTTTTGTTTTTTTGTTTTGTTTTGTTCTGGTTTTTGTTTAACGAATAGCATTCGTTAAAATATAATGAAATAATAATTCATTAATCAAAAAGTAATAATTACAATAATATGTTTTCACTTTGGTGTAATTTTGGAACAACAAAATATAATAAAATTATATATGCCTTTCAATAAGGTTATAAGAATCAACGCCCATGTATAGCCTATCCTCCCTGTGACTAATTTTGTATTCCTGTGACATAAATAATAATAATAATAATAATAAAAGAACTCAACAGTGTACCGTACGTTATCGCACAGTCAATTTAATTACAGTCCCTCTTTGATTAATACTTTAGACAATGCAAAAAGTTTATTTTGTTTATATATTTTTGTCTTTGGTTTAGGTAGGTGGCATTTCAAACAGAAATAGTTGGAATTCACCAAATCACCAGGCACTGCTATCACTTTATATTGGCGAACAGTGGGAAGAGGTCCGGATCTGCGCCTGCCTCTAGGTGCCCGGAAATTGCACTCTCATACCTTACAAAAATACAATACAACAATTATTTTTCTTAATACAATTTAGAGGGGTGCGACCGCACCATCTGCACCCTCTTTGCATCCACCCCAGAAATGAGACAGATATTATAAATGAAAGAATTATTGGTAAAAATGAGAATGATGACCAAGAGGCGATGATTTGCACCGACGAAATAAAATGAAGTTTGTTTCGATGGTTTACTTCCTAGGGTTATAAATGTTTGTACAAACCAGCTTTCATCCATGTTTGCAACTATTTACAATCTTTGTTTTACTATGGACTACCTTCATTTTGTGTGGAAGAAATCATATATTATCCCACCAATTCTTGATATGCTTGTTCATTATCATGTTTGTCATCGTATTTTGAATGTATTTAACATCCCTTTTGGGGATTTTAGGTGTGCTCGTATTTTATGACATCGGCGGTTGATCCAAGAATTTGACAGGGGAAGGAAGGACGGAGCAAGGAGGAACTTTCACAATGGAGGGTCTACAACAACTCAGTCCCACCATGGTTGGTGCTGTGGTAAGAAAATTGATGATTATGGCACCTCTAGATGGCTGGAAATGGCACTACATTTTAAAAACGAGAGCATCAATGATGCAATAGCCCACTTGACAATAGCAGGCAATTTTTAAAAGTGCTGTCAGTCGGTGGAAGTTGTGTGGAGTGTTGTTATGTGTATGGAGCATAAAGAAAAACATTTAAAGTTATAGTAGTTGTATGCATCATCATTGACCTTTTTGTTATGTTCACTTAACAGTTAGGAAAGGTGTGATGTCGTGTACAGTGATATTAAAGGAAATATGGTTGTGGTAAGGTTTGTTGTGTACGTAAATTTTTGAAATATTTTGTACTGTAATTATGAAGATAATTATGTAGAGGTTTGATATAAGTAGACAGTTTGGTGAGTGAATGGAATTTGTTGCATAGAAGTATTTCATTGTGAAGAAATATAGGCGCTAATGCACTTTAGTACTGTAACATTTCTATCTTCAAAAATTGTCTTTTTACCTACTGTGCGCTCCTAACAATATCTTACGATTCTTTTTCATCCAGTTCCCTCACTAATTACACCACTTTTTCGCATTTTATTACTAAAAGCAACGTTCTTTCCCAGCGATTCATGACGGTAGCGACTCGCGACGTTTGTTTATAAATAATTAATTGCCAGGTTGTTATCCAATTTTAAGGACAGCTCTGTTCGTTGCCAGGTTTGATTTTTTTTCCCCCATTTTGTTAAAGAGGTGCCTTTTCATAAATTGTTATTTGTATTTTTATCTCTATTGTTTATATCGTTGTTCTGGTACAGCGCAATATTAATAATGACATATTACATTTAGGGACAACAGCTATTATTTCGTCTGGGAAATCTGACCCCTCGTCGGGGCATCCCCCCCCCCCCAAGGCCCTGGGCGGCCCCAGACCCTTAACTAATGGGTCGTGGCAGCGAAGATGTCACGGGGCTCGTGGCCGCTCTTGGCGGCCCTGTTGACGGTAATTAGTATGACCGAATTTGAGCAAACAATAATTATCACACATAGCACCTTTATTACATTTAGACCCAAAACTTATTACAATTAGAACCTTTATTATATTTAGACCCAAAAGGATTTCACATAGGACCTTTATTACATTTAGATCCAAAACTTATTACAATTAGAACCTTTATTACATTTAGACCCTAAAATTATTACACATAGGAACTGTATTACATTTAGACCCAAAAATTATTACAATCAATCAACCATTTGTCAATCATGGCCATTATTACACTGCATTTAGGACATTTATTACATTTAGTCCCAAAAATTCTTAGAACCTTTATTATATTTAGACATAAAAATTATTACACATAGGAAATTTATTACATTTAGACCCAATAATTATTACACTTTGACCCTTTATTACATTTAGACCCAAAACTTATTACACATAGGACCTTTATTACATTTAGGCACAAAAATCATTTCACTTAGAACTTTTATTACATTTAGACCCTAAAATGCATAATACTTGTATTATATTTAGACCCAAAATTATTTCAATCAATCATTTGTCAATCATGGCCATTATTATACTTAGGTCATTGCACTTAGGACCTACATGTATTTATTTATACATTCTTTCATAATGTATGCATGTTCTGCAGCCTTCCTTTTCCCTTCTTTCACGAGCCATCGAAATTGTCATACTGTTTTAGTGGAGTCTTGCGCTCTACAATAAGTTCAGTTCAGAATATCTGAAGCTTCATTTTGATTTACTAATTCTGGCAACACCAAATCATAAAGTTTGAATTCTGGCAACAGTATTAGGCTCGATCGCCAATTCGCCATTGGAGATGACGGATGGAGTCATATGCAGCGGTTTTTAGTAATAAAATGCTAAAAACCGATGTTATTAAGCAGAATCTGAATGAAGAAACATCGTAAGATATTGTTAGGAGCACACAGTAGGTAAAAAGACAAGTTTTGAAGATAGAAGTGTTACAGTACTAAAGTGCATTAGCGCCAAAATTTTTTCCAGCAAAATGTTCTTAAAAAATGTTTTTGACCCGGTCTGAAATCAAGATGGAAAAAGAAAAGCCTATCTAAGGAGTGTATTAAAAAATAGGCCTAGGCCTATGCCTACAGTGCAGTAGCATAGCACTTTCGTGTTGTTACTGTTCCAGGTATCGATAATACAGATTTCTCTTATTAATATAAAGTACAAGTTATGTTTTATAAAGAGGTATATAAATCATGTTTTTAACACAGGAAACTCTCATATGGTAACTAAAACAATGCTAGTCCAGGGTATAATTACTAGTACTTCTGGTACTGCACTGTATACCTATTTTAGTACACTACTTTAGATAGGCTTTTCTTTTTCCATCTTGATTTCAGAGTAAAAATTCAGGGCATAATACGCCTTTAATTTCTACAAAAATTGATATCAATTACCTTATGAAACATTTTCATGAATTGTAAAAGTGTGGTATATTTCCACGAATTGGATAGGTCTGGAAAGTTATCGCTAAGTTCTTAAACATGGGAATTAAGGGACATCAGGCCCGTGGCCAAGTTCTTCCAAGGGTTGGGGGGGGGGTTTTCTGGGCGTGAGGTTCACAGTCGAAGCCCCGGTGGGGTTGGCGAAACCCCCAAAGCAAGAGCATTTTTGTGCTTTATGGGTCTAAATAATAATAATAAAATATTTATAATGCTATAAAAGCAGATATGTATGAAAATGTCTGTGTCTGCGTGGGTTTGCAGTGCATTAGGTGGGTTTCGCCAGAAAAGAGGGGGGTTTGCTACAAAAGGGGGTTCTCCCGAACCATAAAAACCCCCCTGGATACGGGCCTGGACATACAGTATACGCCCACTTACTGTAAAAATACAGGCATATTGATTGCCTTCAATTTTTAATTTGTGTCTCATCCATTTAAAAATTGAATAGCATGATTGAAATTTGTATTGTGATTTTAACATAAAAAAATAGTCCAGGCATAAGCCAGATGGCTTTCTTGGTATTTTGATACATTCAGTTAGGTTAACAATGATGTACAGTAAGTCCATGTATATTTTAACTATCTCAAATAGTTTCATCTGGTTTCAATTACAGTAAAACATGGAATGAATGCCTTGAGCACTACTGCAGTGGATACTGTATGTGTGCTTTATAAATCTTATTATTATAAATTTAAAAAAAAATACTAAACCAAAAAGATATGTAGGCCTACTGTTTGTGACAACGGATCAAAATATCAGTTCGTATTTCTAGGTCTACTATAATAAGAATTTATTCCATGTTCATATTTTAACTTATATTTTATTTTGCAAAGATATAAGTCCTGTTGTTTGGTTATTCCTCAAAATACTAAAATTCTTTTCAGTAATATGGCATCTGGTGGTTATAAAAGAAGAAGAAGCAGAGGTCGAAGAGTAGGACATCAAACATGTCTGACAGATGAAACCAGGGTAATAGAAAGAGCTCTGCGTTCACTGTGTCAAAATGATGGGAAACTTAGCCTTGAAATTCTTGAAAAGAAAGTTGGTCAGTTCGATCCTGGCCTAGGAAGTCTAGAGGATATCGTTTCAGACTTCCACGACCATTTCAAGATCATAGACTATGCTGATGGTAGTGTTTTTGTTAAAGCACACACTCAGGCTAAGATTTGCCCTTCATACCTGAAGAATGATTGTGAAGAGGGTGATGCTTGCCAGAACCTACATTTGTGTGGTTATTTTGCTACAGGTAAAAGTCAATTTTATACAAATATTAAACAAATTCCTAATTTTGATTGGATTTCATGTGAAGGGATTGGATTAGCACAATTACATCCTATCTCATCTTATCATTTTTCTATCCAATGCTGGATAGCCTCTGCACCTCTCCTTTGCATTCCAGTAAATTCCGTCATCTCATCTTACCATCTCTTGGTCGGTCTTCCCCATCTGGAGAATGTAAGTGGCGTACGATCGCTAATTTTCACGTCAACCTGTTATCAATTCTTCTCATGAGATGTACTCCTGCCCATTTCCACTTTCTCTTCTTGATTTCTACTCAATATTCTTTACACCAGTCCTTTCTCTTCTCATTTCTTATTCTGTCTCTTTTTGTGACACCAATCATTATTCTTTCCATTGCCCTCTCTGTTACTCACAGTTATTGATTCATATTCTTTGTAGTTGTCCAGATTTCAGAACCATATGACAGAACTGGAATTATACATTGGTTGAAAAGCTGTCATTTCATATTGATGGGTATTTCCTTGTCTTTAAACATGTAGCTAAGTTTTCCATATGTTGCCCAGGCTAGCTGTATTCTTTTCTTTATATCTTCTGTATTTTCTCCTGTAAATGTTATCTTTTGTCCATAGATATACCTCTAATCACATCAGGAATTTATTTACAACTGGTAGGAACAATTATACCACTGCCCATTTTTATAACATAATTCTGATGATTTATATGTAAATGTTGGCAGTGATGGTGTACAGTACATGTTTGTGCCAAAGGAAATACAATACACAGAGGGCCGATTCGGACGAGTAAAATTTAACTGTGTACCACCAGCTGAGCAGTCGCATGCGGCAATTAAATAATGCCCCTGGGTATAGAAAATTCGAAAAACATCTGTCCCAAAAACCCACCTTTTTTACTGGATATTTCAATTACACCTTGCCTCAAGGTGTAATTAATCACTCGTAACAAGGCCCAGGTCACAAGTTGACCCTTCAGATTTGTAAACAACACCGGGTCAGAGTGCACTGGACAAAAAGAAGCTCGCGACCACGCTGCATGATTCTTCGCGTTGTTGCCCAAGCTTTCTTTCCACGCTGGTCGTTGTCTTCGTCGTTGCTGTACTTTCTTTGTCAAAAAGCTTGGTTTAGATCAAATCCGTTGTCGAGAAGCAAAATAAAAGTTGTCAGGATAGTTAGGTCGGCTGGGTTAATCATAATTTGGCGTCAATTTGTAAGGATAATCGAAAGGAAATGAGTAAATTGTATAAAAAGTAAGCAGAAATAGCGTAAATTCGTGTATGAAGTATTAAAATTGCCGCGAAAACATTGCTAATTTGACACTGGGTCGTCACTCAGGTCACGAACTATTCAGAATTCTGACCTTGCAGAAGCTTGTAAAATATGTAACTTCCGTCAAATTAATGGGTAAATGAATTGTTATTTTACTCGTCCGAACAACCGTCACATTTAGCCCCGAGGTTATTAGTAGATTACCCATGTAATTGAGTTTACGTCCGAATCCAACCAGAGTGCAACATAATCACCATAACAGACATTAAGATTTTTATTTTACTTGTGATCACTATAAAATAGGTTCCTGCTGTTGGTTTGGTATGAATAAGTGCAGAAAAAGTCATCACTTTAGATCAGACCACAACAACCAAATTTTGAAAGACCTTGACATCGCTTTCCTTTCACATGAATGTTTGAAGACTCTCTTCCGATTGGCCTGGCCAGAGTTCACAGTTCCTGATTTCTGTGGTTTATACCGAAGCCCACATGGTTGTCAGAAACATACCTGTAGGTTTCTACACATATGCAAGTAAGGGTGCTTGATTTTATTGAATCTTATATGTTCTTTTAAAAATGTTATGGGTATGCCAACTTGTATGTTGCTCTATTTTGTGGTATAATAATAATAGATGGATTTATATAGCGCAAATAAACAAGGTCTCTATGCGCTAGACAATATTGAAGTCAAGAACACAAAGAAAAAAGCCGGGAAAAAAAACCAAATAAACAAAACAATAAACACCAAGCTAGCACCCAAACCAAAGTATGGGGTTAACACCATCACTGCCAACCGGAGATCTGTGTTTATGTACTCCGGTTAGCATCGGTTAAGTCTTGATCTTTTCTGGGATCAGGTGCCTCCTAACCTGGAACAAATAACACTAGCTAGCAAGGTGAAACAGAGAAATTGGAAAAAAAGAAGAAAAAAGTAGCTATAAAGAGGTAAATAAAAAAGATTTGAGTCGCTTCTTAAAGATGTCAATTGACGCTGATTCACAGACTTAACGGGTAGTTTTCCAAAAACCGAAAGGTCCACTGATTAATCTCAGATAAGAAAGTATAGTACATACTCCAAGTATTGAAATACACGCCATCGTGTTGGGATTCAATATTTCGACATTAATTATGTCATCATCAGGAATGATGATGACATAATTAATGTCTAAATATTGAATCCCAACACGATGGCATGTATTTCAATACTTGGAGTATGTATTATACTTTCTTAACGGCTAGTGCATTCCACATTTTTGAAAAATGCTGGAATAGTGTTTTTGAAAGATTGGATGCCTATGAAAAAATATCCAGACAGTTATAACTCTTGTTCATTTAATGCTATCAGCAAAACTCTTCAATAAAATCCTCCTGTTACTGCTTTCATATGGAAATATGTCTTTGCTTTTTAGAAACTATGTTATGAATGAGTGCAGATACAGGACACGATGTAAGTTTTCACATGATATCTGTGCAAGTGATTCTAACGAGAGACTGCTGCAGCGCTTTAATATAAATGTTAATGACTACAGCTCATATGACATTATTCGCTTGATCAAAGAGCGGCATGAAGGCATTTATCGACCTGATGTTGAGGTTTTGGATAGTGATGGAAAAGACAGTGATGGTGAAGAGAGGGATGGAGATGCAAGCTGCAGTTCAGACATTTATGACACAATGATGTGTGCTTTTAATGAGGAACTTGAATCAGAAAACCTCTTAACTTTTACCAGACCAGCTGAACCTTCATCAGGACAATCAAGAAAAGCTTATCAAAAAACATGGATTGATAACTTGCATGACTCTTATCAACAGACAAGGGCAGTTCAAGATAAGAAGGAAGAAATTTGCCAAAAGTATTTACAGGGAAGCTGCACCAGTGACTTATTATGCCCAAAGCATCACTGCGATCTTCCTTATCAATGGCAAATTCATATCGGTGAAAAATGGGAGAGTGTTGATTCTTATAAAAATAATGCCATGGAAAAGAAATACTGTGATATGACAGACAACGAAACTGCTTGTTTGGTTTTTGATACCTGGTAAGTTTCTGGATACAGACAAAGCTTATATTTGTTCATCAGAAACTGATCTTATACTACAATCACCAAAACCTCAGAATTTCAATATTCTACTAATATTACATCCATGTAACAATACATAATTATGATTTTAATTCTTTTTCAAAGGGGTCGTATGCAAATCTCCTTTGATGGCATGTTTTTGTCTAATTATATTATTACCATACCCATACGCCGTTTGGAGGTAAAATGTAAACCTTCTGATGCTCACTGGATTTCACACTGGTCATGGTATTGGAAGGATGAATGTGGTACCTGGATTGAATATGCAGAACAGGTTGGTACTACACTACCGGGTTCATTTCCTCACTGTTTTCACGAAGAGACACAAACTTCAATTTCGACGAAAACAACGTTTTGAGAAAAACGCGTTTGAAGTGGACTACTTCACAAATCCGTAAATTTCACTATCAAGATAACAGAGTTTTGAATGTTTTTTTACATATGTTTAAAGATAAAGCATTAAACAATCCAAATGTGTAATTTATTTTTCTTTTCTTAACTATAATCAACCTGTTAATTAGCGTGAAAAGATTGTGTCTGTTCATGAAAACGATCAGAATAAACACAGCATATGTTGTTTACACGTAGAGTGAAGTTTGTGTCTCTTTGTGAAAACGATGCGTGCTGTATGCGCACCTGTTGTTAAGGCACAAACTTGCACAAACTGTATTTCAGCTATGTGTTAACCATTGTAGTCAAGGGCGAAAACAGGCTACAATCTCGGCTTATCCTGCTTTAATCATTATGTTTTTACGAATAATTCCACTTATATTGCAAGAAGGGTACTGGTATGCCTAGGTACAGTAAGCTAGGGAAATCTAATTTTTACATCTAGCCCTAGCCAAGCTAGACCTCACCTAGCGATCACAACGATTGCAACGCCGCACACGCGTCTTATAATAACCCAATGAAAGTTTGTGTCTTTGTGAAAACGAAAAATCCATTTTTCTCGGTTTGTGTGCAACGGCTAATTAGCTTTATTAGCTAATTAGTGTAGTTCCACTCTTAAAAATTAGATGGAATGGTAAACTTCGATGTACATAATCAAAATGTAAAAAAAAAAAAAATTGAAAAAAATATGATTTTTGAAGTTTGTGTCGGTGAAGATTTCTATATTTCAGTTGAATGATTTTAGCAATGTTCATTGTTTATGTGAATATTTAACAAATTTCACAATCTTAAATTTTAGAATACCAAACAGAATGCAAGGTCTGACAAAGAAAGCTCAGATTTTGAAACTTCGTATGATGCATACAAAAACAGAAGTGGCAGTCAGACTGTCAAGTTTAAGGCTGGAAATCAACACTATACTTTGAACTTTGGAACTATGGTCCAGACGAATGATGAATATCGTACCCAGAAAGATGTTCGTCGGAGACCGTCTAAGCACATAACATCGGCTGATGTTAAGAGATACAGGGAAGAAAAACCTTGGTAAGTAAAAAATCAATATGGTATATTGTTTGTTTGCCTTTTTTTCTTTTTTTTTTGAGTAATTTTAATTTTAACAATGAGATATATTGAAGGGGGTACAGTATGTCATTTAAAAGTTAAGTAGTTTTATAGTTTATTGAAGTTGTTCAGAATATAATACAATTTTTTGATGGAAGTTAAAAACAATAGCAACATTTGCATTAGGCTGATTAACCCAAAATTTAAAAAAAATAATTTTGGGTAAGCTTAAGAAGTTTGATTTTAGTGCTGTCATCTAAAATACGGGGAAAAATAAATTGAATTGAACCGTACAATTAGGTACAAGCCAATAGTAAAAAGATAATGTATACCTGCTGGCGTCCGATGCATGAGACAAAAAAAAAAAGAAATTTGGATATAGCTCCCTCTATGTGATAATCACAAAATAGAATGCCCTGTATGTTGTTTTTCTTTTTAATTGTCGTGATCGAACTGCTACTTATTACAGTCGGTAAAGCTTTGTTAAAATAAATTGATATGGCATGTATTCAAATTTTAATGACGAATTCACTTCATTTTTATGAATTGTAGTGTATAATCTGCCTATACATTTTATCTTTTATAAAATTTTGTATGATGCATGAGATAATTCAATGTCCTGTAGGCGTGAGACGTAAAAAGTGGATGCTCATACGTGAGACTGATGCATTATGCGCGAGAGGTTTGCTGATGTAATAATGCCAACTTGCCGATTGGATTTACAAATACCACTGTGCTTAGGCCACAGTTTTTTGTGGCCTAATTAGTGATGATGATGGTTTATGTTGATGAGGAGGGGGAGGACAGAGATAATAAAAAAGGTGATGCTGATTATATACAAATAATTTATTAAGTACTTTGGTTATTGTAGACTGGTCAAAATTATTTTTCTTCTAATTAAAATTGTACTTTTCTGAAATTATTTTTGCAGGTGCCGGTCAAATAACAATAAATATCCAAGAACCTGGAATCGTGCAAAATCACATCTACTTGTAGAAGTATCGAAGCACAGCAATAGTGAAGAGTACAGGAAAATACAAAAAATGTTCCAGGCTACACTTCCAGGAGTGAATATTACAAAAATTGAACGGGTTCAAAACGAAACTTGGTGGGATTCATTTTCCAGGTACATTTAATAAATTTTCTTCTTTTTTTTATAAACATTTTTTAAAGTACAAAATCTCATTTTTTAATTATGTTTTATTGGTTGAATTGATATTTTAGTCAGCTATTTTTATTTTGATTAAACCAAGTTTAAAATTTTAACCATTTATTTTTGGGGTTGAATTCGCTACACTTTGGGTCATTTTTTAAAAATTTTTTTTATATGTTTTATACTATACCGGTACATCGTATGTGTTTATATGTCTAATTTTTATAGAATTTTAATGATGATTTGTGGTGATACTGTATTTATACTTTTTGTAACCGTGCCACTTCAGTTTTTAAGTGCCGGCCATGGATGTTTGTATTTTTATACCAAAATATATAGAAAATTTAAAATAGGAAATACTGTAAAGTGATGCTGTTCAGTGTTAAAATGGTTTATTGAGTGTTGCAGTGATATTTTCATATTTTAGTCAGCACCTCACTCTGCAGATGTAACTCTATTCTGCTTTTACCAAACTGGTGGAACAAGGATGTTCATAAAGTGTATATTTATTTGTCTGTGTTCGGCTATGAAATATTATATTTTATTTATGTATTGGTAGTGCCTTACATTTGGTTACTAAGTGCTTGAGAAACTTAAAAGTTAAAAAGCTAATCCTAGGTTTGGTCTAGGGAAGGATCATGCACGGGATTGACTATACTAATTTTCTAAATCATTGTGTTGTTACTGGAAACAGAATATCCAAAAAAGGACATAAATATATATATTGTTTTCAGTAATTAACAAAATGACTTAAAAGCAGCTTAGCTCAGTCAGCTAAACTGGTGCAGGGGCAGATCCAGTAGGGGGCACAGGGTGGCTACTAAATTTTAAAAATTTCAATGCAAATCAATGTTATGTGCTACTCACTTACCTATTCTGAAGCTATTGTGCCCCCCCACCCCAGTTTGAAAAATTCTGGATCCGCCCCTGTGGTGGTGCGCTGAACCGTGGAGATCTCTTGGTTTCCAGTTCAATTCCAATCACTGCTCTCCTTGTATTTCAGCTCGAGGGCTGAAATACAAGTTACGATAGCGCACCATCTTTTGGATGAGACGTTTAAGCTGTTGGTCTTATGTGCAATATGGCCCATGTACATGTTAAAGAAAGCAGCAAACTCTTCGGAAAAGAGTAGGGGATTGTCTCCCAGTGTACTGACCAATTCACCACTGGAAGGACCCCACTTCTTCAGACTTTCATGGGTTATCCTTGGTGTTTACACCGAATAAATCCATCCATTGATACTAGATTGGTATGTAAACTCAAAACAGCAAGCCCCACTGTCTACAAATATGATAATATCTAAAAATATTACACAGGTAGATCAAAGTTTCCAGGCTGAATATAAAATACTTTTTTTCTGTTTTCAAAAGGCAAAAAGAAGTTATGATGAAAAAGAATCCCAACAAACCAGTGGATGAGCGTCTACTGTTTCATGGAACTAAACCTGAAATAGTTCAAGATATTTGTCGCGATAATTTCGACTTCCGTCTGAGTGGAACGCGAGTTGGTGCAATTTACGGTCAAGGTGCCTATTTTGCAAGCACATCAAAGTATTCTGATTCCTATGCAGAGGCCGACAGATACAGCATAAAAAAGATGTTTGTAGCTCGAGTCCTTGTCGGAAGTTACACCACTGGGACTCGTGATATGCGCAGACCACCATATAAAAATCCTTCAGATAAAACAAAGGGGATGTATGATTCTTGCGTCGACAACGCAAGTAATCCAAGTATTTTTGTGCTATTTGATAACCATCAAGTATATCCAGAATACGTAATCACATACACATCCCCAAGTGTCAATCAGTATATTGGACTAAGTACCAATTATACATCATATGGTAGTAGCAGGCAAACAAGCTCTTACACATCCAGTCAGGCAGCAAGAAGCACTTCCAATCCACCGTCTTATAATAATACATACACAAGTAATAGCAACAATAGCTCATGTATTTGTATGTAAATCTCCTGCAACTCCCACGACTCTTCCAGAAATCAGGACGGCCTTCGGTTTTCATTGCTTTATTATCATTTGTCTCCCGTAAGTCAGTGCCGATGGGTATTACAATGAGCAGCAAATAGAATAAAATGTGTTAAGAAACTTAATTAACCAGATCAGTGGCGAATTCATGATGTTGAGGGCAAACAAACAATTTTTTTTTTGGCCTAATGATGTTTTTGAATAAAAGTAAAATTTTATTTTTGGCCAGTTAGCGAACCCACCACTTTGAAAAAATAAATATTTCAGAAAATTTTTTTTATTCATATTTGTTGTGCCCACCACTGCCTGAATTATCCAAAAATACAATATTTATATTTCTTTCTTAATTATATATATATTTAAAGCATTTATCAATCCCATTACTACACTCTTCTACATTCATCAATAAAATTTTATTTTTATTTTCTCCTCCACCTAGATGCTTTGGGAAAAACCATTTTGCTAAATAATAAGATAACAAAATTTTATATTAATTTTTTTCCAACCTCCTCTGATGGTCATTAAAAAGTAAGTTTGCTAAACAAATATAAAAAGAGTCTCAAAAATTGTTCTCAAATTCTTAAATAATTATAACACACTAGTCAGTGATATATAAGAGACAATAATAAAGATATGTAATAAGATTACCAAAATTAAACATGTTAAAGATTGTTGTAAAGATAAAAATATTTATAAGATTAATATTTCTGAATATATGTGATTGTTTTAACATTGTTAATTATACAGTACACACAAATGCAAATTAAAAAAAGAAAATGAAATGAAAAATAATGATAGTATAATAAAATTAATTTTATAATACAGTTTAAAAGTGATGATATGAAATTGTAGCAGAGTGAAAAAGATCAGCAAACAAAACAAATAAAGGGGTGATAGTAATTAAAATTAGAAATGTTAGTGTATGTAGATTACATTAAATTAACAAATTAAGTATTAAGTTGTAAGACATGCATTATAATAATAGGTCTAAAGTTATTACCTATAAGAAAGCTGCAGGGAGTAATTTTAGTACTAAGAGTTTCTCCCATCGATAGAGACTTGTCCATACACCGAGGAAATAGATTGACTGTTGAATTTCTATGAGTTCTAGATCTTTCTGAACTACCCATGTTTACAGTCTTCTTTGTCTGATGTTTCTGTGTAGTCTGGTCTCACTGTTGTTTATTGTTATTTTATTCCTTGTTTATTTTGAATGCACTGTGTACCACTTGGTGTGGTACAAATTTCTGTATTAACCGTAAGTTCCACTGATGATTAATCTCAGATAAGATAGTATAATACATACTCCAAGTATTGCTAATACATACTCCAAGTATCAAATGTCACTTGATATTTGACCGGGAATGTGGAATTCATTAAAAATGTTTAACAATGTGCTGTATTTTCAAAATGGTTTAGCATGAATTAAAAAACAAATTTCTGTATGATTTACTGTTGTTCATTCATTTCAATATCACTTTTTCCCAAAATAGAAACTTTTAACAAAGAAAATTCTATTTAAACCGTCTTGCTGCAATCATAGAGAAAGAAGTGCTGGAATAATTAATTTATTACATATAGAGTAAGTATATAAATGTAAAATGTATATATATTGTATTTATTCAATATACTTAATTTTATGTTGTATATAATTGTGTTATTTGAGGAGAAAAATTAGTTCCTTCAATAATGTAATCCAAATAATGTAATCCATTTTTTTTATATAAATGTCACTTAATATTTGACTTAAAATGTGGAATTCATTAAAAACGTTTAACAATGTATTTTCAAAATGGTTTAGAATGAATTAAAAAAACAAAACAATAATGCCAAAGTTTACACTTCCTACTTTTAAAAAGATTACTTGTGTGTTTGTATACATTTCACAGTTGTAGTATTACCACTAAGTGTTGACAAGGTCATCTACCGTAACTTGTCAGAGCATGGAGGAATTAATTTGCTAAACTAATTCCTCCATGGTCAGAGTAAGGGTATAATGGTACCCCAAATCATATCAACACAATTCCTCTTATCTTGTAAACTTTTAGATATGAGATATATTTTTTTTTGCTTTCTTACATTAAAGACTGAAAAGATTGAATAGTAGATCAGAGGAGTACTAGTGGTTGATTTGGAATACATTTTCTTGATATTCATTCCTAATGAACAGAAGGCCAAACAAAAAGTTTATTGTTGCTCAATTCTGATATATAAAATACTTTAATGAGGATTGGAATTTGGTATAGGCAGTAGCTTATTTAAGAGTCTTGAA